TTACTTCCGACAAAGCACTATTTTGACCCTTTATTGACTGGGCTAATTGTCCTGCACCCAAATATCTTGGTGTCATACTGGACCGCGCACTGACATTTAAGGCGCATTGTATTGCGACAAGAGGTAAAGTCTCAGCTAGGAATAATATCATCAGGAAGCTCACCAGCAGATGCTGGGGTGCTAACCCTAATGTCCTCAGAACTTCAGCTTTAGCGCTCAGTGTGTCGGCTGCGGAGAACGCTGCACCAGTATGGAATGCATCGTCACATGCAAAAAAGGTTGACATTGCAGTCAATGACATGGCTCGGATTGTAACTGGGTGTTTGAAACCAACCCCAGTACACAAACTCTATCCTATCATAGGGATCGGCCCTCCATCAATCCGACGTGATGTCGCTGCCGACGCAGAAAGGACTAAGCAAGAGACAGACCCTCGTCACCCATTACACGGCCACCAACCTGCAGAGCGACGGCTTCGGTCCAGAAAGAGCTTTTTATCGCGGACACGAGTCCTGGATGGATCACTCTCAAGCAATCGGGTGGCAAGGTGGGAGGCCACGTTGACTAACCCTCCCATACCAGCCAGGGAGGAACTGGCTCCTGGTGGAGGCCTTCACTACACGGTGTGGAAGACCCTAAATCGAATTAGGGCCGAGGTACCAAAATGTAAGACAAACATGCAGAAATGGGGTCTCTTACCAGACGAAGAAAACATCTTGTGCGCGTGTGGTGCTATTCAGGATCCTGGCCATCTGCTGATCTGCCCACGCCTAGACCAGTCTTGCACATTAGATGATCTTTTACATGCGAATGACAAAGCCATATCGGTAGCTAATTTTTGGAAAAGCGAAGTCTGATTTCCGGACACGGAAAGTAAGTAATTGAACTGGAAAATTTTCTAGCTGTAATATTGCGTTGAATATGAAGGTCAGCAATATTCCTTTTCGTGGCAATTCTTTCAGAATCCTGCCAGTGATTAAATCGTATCTGGGACTTTTCTTTGGGTTTATTTCCTTTTGTATTACTTTTAGAACTTCGGACGGTGTACAGGGTGATATAGGCAAAGATAATTATTGATTAGGTGAATCCAAATATTCAAAAATATCACTCTCGTCGTTTGGTGGATTCGGTAGTAAGGGTTTGAATACATCTGAAAAGTAATTTGAGAATATAGGTACTTGCTTTCTCCATGTTAGTTTTGGCCCAATTTCCATCATTTTTCCTGATAGGTGGAACATGTTGTAGGCCTACTATGGGTGCTTTACGTACCTCGTGAATTTCCATAAGGAGTAATCTGTAGCTTCAGTTGGAGATAAATTGTTGGTAAAGTCGGAAAACCATTCATTCTTTAGATTTACTAAACATCGTTTTAAAGATTGAGCTGCATGATTAAACCTATTTTTATCGTCTGGGTTTCGAGTATTCTGCCAAATCCGTTTTAGCTTACGTTTCTCAGCAATTCTTTTTTTTTATAAACAAAGGATAGTTTATCGATTTCGTCACCGAGGTTTTTGCTTTAGGAGTGGCTTCCCATCCTGCTTTTTGTAAAGTGGTAATTTAAGTAATTAATCGATTTCTCAAAATCGGTTGGGGTTTTTAACGGAATTTTCAGGTCAATATTACTGTTTATTGAGTCTCTAAAGTGATCCCAATCAGTGATTTTATTACAAAGGAACGGTGGTTGTTCTTTAAGAGAAATGATCTTACTACTGTATGTTTTGATAACAAGGAGAGTGATCAGATGAAAGATCAAGGGATGATTCTACATCAATATAGTTTAATGAAACGCCCTTTAGTACACAAAAATATAATAAATCTGGCACTTTGTTTTGATCCGTTGGCCGTTGGCCGTTGGTTTAGTAGGTTGGCCTGTCGAAGCACAATCAAATCCATTTTCAATTATGGTGCTATAAAGCGATCTTTCTCTAGGAGTTATTAGTCTTGATCCCAAGTGGGTGTGTTTTGCGTTATAGTCTCCACCTGCAATGAATTTTGAGCCAAGAGATGAGAAAAAATCTGTAAACTGGTCTTTATTGATTACATGAGGTGGGGGACAATAAACAGCCGACAGTGTCAGAGAGCTATCATGCCCGTCCTCTAAAACTACGCTGGTAGCTTTGTAGAAAATTATTTTGTGTTTTAGGTAGTGTGTATTGAGCTATGATTTTGGCCCAAGAGGTTGTGAAGGGAGCCTTGGCCTGTTAAAACGTTCTTGGATACGTAATTAAGTGAAATTATATGGACTATTTACAAGCAAATATAATCGAAAAATGCATTAAAAGATACATAGAAATGTGTGATTTTCACTTAAATTTATGCAAAGATTTCCGGGGGGGGCCCTCGGACACCGTTTTTTGATGTGGGCCGATGTGGGGTATTCCATACCCCCCAGACCGGCGCCACTGTCGCCCATAGTGGAACTCCCTTAAAATATGTATGGGTGACATGGAGGTCAATTTACCTTGTGTATATCAACAAAGTTTAGTAACTGAATGTAATCCGAACGATTCATAGAAAGCACTAGCCAACAGGTACAAAGTAGTGTATGCAAGATGTAGTAAATTTTCAAACATGTGTAACAGTAAAGTAAGAAATATTAGCTCATGGTTGTTTAGTTTACTGCAACAGTAGTTCGTTAGGATTGTCTATTTAAGTCAGCATGTCAACTCTGAAAAATGGTGTAACCGTAAATAAATAAATAAAGTCAATTTAAGTAAGTGGAAGGGCATACTCCAGTTGAGCATTTCCTCTTTCGGGAAAACAGTCTCTCGCGTGAGTAGTTGTATTAGTTGCAGTAAACAGCAATGACGACCTGATGGATTGTAATGCTTTTGGGAGAACCCTTTCCCAACCAGTTTATTGGTAGGTCTTTTGGATGGAGAGCAAGAGTTACGGTCTTCCAAATTATACCGTTAGTTCTACTTGCCTGTTTCCACAACGATAAGGAGTAACACGACTTTTGGCTATCCCTTTGGAGTGCAAATATTCTTCACAGTTCTCTATAGATACCTCCTACTTCAGAATGGATGTAAGCCGAATATTCAAAAATAGAGAATATGTTACTCGTAGCTCCAATTTGTGTCTTAGCAGACAAATCATTGCAGGGAATGGCGAATGGAAATCCTGAGTATTCGTCAACGACTGTCAAAATATATTTACGAGTATTAGATTGTAAAGGGGCCTTATTTAAAGTCGATGCTAAGGGCTTGATTATGAGGCGACTGTAGCATTATAATCAGGAAACGTTATCTTCTGCAGAAGCGTGGTTTTCCAGCAGGAGAAAATATTTTGCAGGAAGACGTCACTCTTCTAATTTCTTCAATAGATTTCTTTAAAATTATACAAATTATGTTGATTATGGACATTTGTTTATTCCACTTTAATTTATATACACTCTATTTTATTGGATTCTACAGCAAATCTGAAGCATTATGACATAATGTAAGTGTAACGTCATCAGCTATGTTTTCCAAACAGCTGATCGATGAGTCGTCTACAGAGAAAAACATAAGAAGAATCGGCCAATCATCAATCGGCATTCCATTGGCATGTCGCGTTTTCGCTAGCAGCCAGCCAGAGGACAGGACAGGAGCAGAAGCAGAAGCAGACGAGACCTTGCCGTCAGACCGTCACCGCCCACCACCGCGCCGTGCAGAACGCATCATACCGTGCATAGCCGAACTGTTCGTGGGAAATTGTTATCTTTATCACTGTTGCTGTCAAAACGTGTCATTTGTAGGTTAAATTTAAATTAATTTAACTGTCATAACCTAACCAAACTTGCTGATAATGAAAATTTCGAATGAAGGTTTAATAACAAAAATAGTTCTGTTCATAAAATAAAATTATAAATATCTCAAAATCAATTATATAATTTTTTAATTATAAAATTAAACTATCATAACCTAACCAAACCAACCAAACTTGCTGATAATGACAAAATCGAGTCAAAAAGTTAATGCCTCCGGTAGGTTACGAACCGGCTACCTCTGTTAACCCGGTGCGCTATCCACTACACCGAGACTGTTCACCGGTTGTTCACCACTCCGGCTGTTCACCGTATCGTTGCGGTAATGGTGTTCGCTCGAGCACGAGCCACGACGAGCAGTGGTGGAACAGGTGGGCGGTGGCGGTCGGTCGGCAAGGGTTAATCAGAAGCAGACAGCAGAAACAGAAATCCGTATCTGTCTGTGCGTTAGTGATGGGACAACCGACTGGAAAAAACAATCGACTAGTCAATCGGTTGTTTTTAAAACCAGTCGGTTTTTTCAGTCGAATGAAAAACCGAGTGAATTCCACTACAACTGGTGACTGCCTGTGCCTGACTGGTGGTGTTCAATCGGCGCAATGGTTTCAGTGTTTCAGTCATTGCAATGCAAGGAAAATAATCAAAATCAATCACATTATTACTGGAAACGTTTGATTCTTTGTTGTTGATTTATTGTCTGTTTTTTGTGTTGATATTTTATATGTGTTATTAAAGTACTTAATAACATTTAGTTTATACAAGGACAATTTTATTCAGTAGACCTACTTTCTCAACCTAAGCTCAGTAAAACAAATATTCCTGATCACTTGGTTATGGTTTTAAACTGTATAGGTCATTTACATCTAATCACGAGTACAATACTTAAAAAACAGTGAATTGGAAATTAAAAATTTTAATAGACATAAAAAATACTCATTACACTATCTTAATTGTACCTAAACACTGTTCACAATTAGTGTACAGTACGATAGTTTATCTACAACTGCTTTTATTCATTCACCAGTCAGTCTCAAAAACAGTCAGTGTGGTTCTTACGACTAGTTTCAATCATCGACGTTTGACTGTTTCCAGTTATTCCAACGATTGGTTGACTGGTTCCAGTCGCCGTGGGACCGGGAGTATGAAGTGACTAGTTTCAATCATATCCGGGAGAACAACCGACTAGTCGGTTTTTTTCCAACAATCGATTGAATCGGTTGTTTTCAATCAGTTGTTCCCATCACTACTGTGCGTGTGCTGTAGTAGATGCAATGACGTGATTGTTATGTTTAATTTGTGTTATGCCGGTTTGTGTACTGTAGATAAAGGAAAATCTGCATTATCATAAGCCATCTAGCATTAATTTGCTTGTAAAACTGATTTTGCTCAACATTTTAATTTAAACCATACAGTTTTGCTAACATTGTGATGGTTAGGCCTAAGCATTGTTTGTCAAAAATGCTTGGAATAATGTCCTGGTCAAATTTATTTGGGTGCTTCTCCGTTACCGAATAAATTAAGCAACCAGTTAAGTAGCTGCAAAGAAAAATTCCACCCATTAAAATTATCAATATGCTTAAGTTTGTGCTTAATTATTTAGTATTCTTCATTACCATAGTTTTAGCAACAGTGAGTGATGTTGTTAGTTTTGGAGAGGTGATCTATGCAATTAATGCCGGTGGAGAGGCATTTACAGACAGTTTAGGAATAAAATATGAAAGAGACCCTCTTTTTGGTAAAGTAGGAACTGCTTCAGACTATGGGAAACAGCTTCTAATTGGAAGAGTACCATCTCAAGACCAAATTTTATACCAGACTGAAAGGTACCATCATAGTACTTTTGGATATGACATTCCAATTCATAAAGATGGAGATTATGTCATGGTTCTAAAATTCTCTGAGGTTTATTTCAATTCACCTAATATGAAGGTTAGTAAGTTAGGCCTAATACAAAATTGGCTAATGCCTTAACCAATGGTTTAGTGTTAAATTACTTATTACCTACAATAGGCCTATTAAAAAAAACTTTAAGTTAAGTTGAATTTACTGGTAGGCTATCATTCATTAGCCTACATTAAAATAGGACAACCCACAATAGGCTAAGCATAACTTAGTCTACCCGCAAGTGTGAAACTTAAATATCCAACTCCATCTTTAGAAGTAACTTAAATTAATTGAACAAAAACAATCAGTAAGTTTAAGTTAGGCCTTCTTTCCAGGGCATAAGTTAAAATGACATGTTAACTGAGATTTTGTCGCCCAGTGGCTATGGGTGGTGCCGGCATTTTTTTTTTTTATGATTCACATTTTAAATGTAACTTAGCCTATTGGAGTTTATATCAAATTCCAAAAGCATTCTGTTCCTACATTTTACTACTTTAAATTAAACGAAGTTAGGTAGGCCTATGATTTTTAGTAAAGTAAATATAACTTAAGCCTACTCACATGGCCTGTGGTGTTAATTAATGATGATAGACGTTAGTTAACATAAAACGCTGTTAAAATAAGCAAAACTTTTGTTAAAACATTTAACTTAGGTAGGTAGGCCTACTTACTTTTTTCGCAGAGGATGTATGCGTCCGGTAACAGGACGTGGATTAGGCGTCCGGCAGTTACTGTCATAACCTAACCTAACCAACCAAACTTGCTGATATTGAAAAAAATCAAATGAAGGTTCAATTCTCTTAATGACATAAAATTATAAATGCCAAAAATTCTAACAAAAAGGTAGGCCTACAGTTAAGAAGAAATTACATTCAAAGCAAAATCTGTGGCAAAAAGTTAAAGAAACCGATGGGTTTTGAACCAGGGACCTCTTGGATATCAGCCGAGCACTCTATCCACTACACCACGAACAACGCTGGCTGAACATCGTATCGTTGTGGTAATGGCGTTCCGGGACCCCACAACCCGGTGACGTCACTACCGGACGCGTATCCTCTGTGTACTTTTTTTGTCTAAGATTTTGTGTATAGGCCTACAGTATTGATGAAATTCATTTGTAAAAGGTATAATCTAACCAGGGAATGAAATGTAGCTAATAGTTGTAAATCAGTGCATAACTTAATTGAGCCCCAATTCATGATGGTTTGCTGAATAAATGTTTTACTAAAATGCGTTATCATTTTCTTAGCATAAACAAACATTTTGGAAACAAGAAAGAAAAAGCAAAAATTGTACAGTTAAGACAACAATTAAATTGAATACGCCTGTAATAATAAATATGGTGCAACACCAACGATAACTAATTTGTAAATTACAGTGATGTGTTGGTACCTACTTAAAAATGATTCTTGCTGCTACCAACAGTACCAAAAACCAACGTTCACAGTTGAGAACTATAGTACAGCCGACCATTTATATGAGTTAATCAAGTCCCGAGGTTATTGATCTCTTGGTTTTGGATTTTCTCGTAAAACGTTTTAAAACGGCAATCAAAGTTACCTATTTCCCATTAATTGCTTTATTTGTAAACAACTTTTAATGTAAACTTATCGGTTGTTAGTTTGAACAAAAAACTTTTTGTTACCTATTTAATAGATTACGTATTCTCTAAAAATGATTGGTATAAGCTATCTATTAACATTGGAAGGAAATGGGACAAAAATCACACAACGTTGGGTTTTTGGACGTTTGTAATTTTATTTCTTAAGTAGGTAGGCCTTGTATTCTAGGGAAAAGTACCGGTATCAAGGATCGTCGTCGAAAAGGTTGTTTAAATGAATAATTGGGTAGGCGTACGTACCCAAGAGATGGGCTATGGGCCTTTTGGCTGTATGGTCCAGCGATTGCATCACACGGTGAGTAGGTACTATTCACTATATATGTATATAGTCAATGGTAGGAACAGAAAATAACACATTAGAAAAGCGAGTTTAGCATCATCCGTAAACCTCTGTTACAATCACCCACTGCAGTTGTGATTTTTTACTTTACACTTTACACAACCGCCATTGAAGTGCCGTCAATGAGTAGAAACCATGTTTCTAAGCTATTGGCGATGATCATTATTAAATTTAAGTTTCCCAGCCGTATATAACACTGATTCAAGGTCTTCTTTCTGGTTATAAAAACTCAAGAACAATTTATAGCCTACACAAAGAATCTCGGGAGCGTTTCATAAACTCCAAATTTCACAAACTCCAACGCTTAAAATATTAAATAAACAGAGCGGTTCATAACCTCCAATTTTCATAAGCTCCAAATCTATAACATTCAAATACTCACTGTTTCACAATGTCCAAATTTCACAAACTCCAACGTTAAGATACCAAATAAACAGTGCGGTTCATAATGTCCAAATTTCATAACCTCCAACGGTACAGTCTGAGCCAGAAGTCTCTACAGTGGTTGCCACAGTCAGATAGCAGGCACCGTTCGCCAGCGCTTAACTACTGATTATACGTGCATTTTATGATTGAAGAACACTCAGCTGTGTGACTCAAATATGTGTTAGCACACAATGTGTAAATCAAATTTACATTTTTACATTTTTAATACCTTTAATTCAAGCTTTCAGCTGAGTTTCTTAACTGTTCCGTCTCTCAATTAAAAAGCCAATTATTACATTACAAATATCGTAAGAGATTTTTTACCGATGAAAAATTTTAAAACATATAAATATGTTTTATAAGTATATTTTCTAATAGCTGTTAAAATTTCATAATGATTACATCAGTGGTTTTTTGTTATGTGCAAAAATAGCCCTTTGTTAGAAAAGTGCCGAAAACCTTGTACTTTATTCATTCTACCCACTAAAAGGATGAGTTTAAACTACATAAAAAGGTAGAAACTAACATACATAAACGCAGAAATACATTTTTATAAGTAGGATTTAACTTATACATCATATTGTAGGTATACTGGTCACGTTTCAATAAAAGCTCATACTCGAGTATTTACACATTTTTACTCGACAGCAGTCTCGTTTCTCTTTGCAACTTAATGTGGCTAGTTCAATAATGTTAAAGTTTTGACAAGGTGATAATTTATATTTTGATTTGCCTTTTCAGTGGAGAGCTAAGCATTGTATACCTTTTATTTACCAATAAAAATGCGTAATCACAAACAGTGGAGTCTTTGACTGTCGTATAAAAAAATATTAAGGTATGAAGTTGTTGTTGTTGTAACGATTATTGCATATTCTATTTAAAAATAGTGTTCAATGTAAATAATTCAACAAGTTATTAGATAGGTACCTTTTATAGTTTTTAGATTCTATTTAGCAAATTTCCCTATAAGAAAGTACAGTAGCTATTACCGTAGGTGGCATGGTAAGACCTAGGCCCGGGACCGATTTACTTTTTGATTTTGATGTCCCCAGAGGCCAAAAACACAATTCGTTAAAATTGTTATAGGTACAGCTGTCCGTGTGAAAGCATGCATTTTCTAAATTTAAACCGACGACAGTCAGGGATTGCCCTGGTGTCTTAAAATGGTTATTGCGAAAGCAAGACAAAAAGGAAATTTTAGTTTCTTAAATTCAGAGGGTAATTCGGATGAAATCATCATTATTCTTTGGATTATGACTATTTCTCCTTTGAACTTACCACTGAAAATTTTTGCTTCAATCATTTTTGGTGTCATTTTTAGCGAATTTCCTTATAGGGAAATAAGCTATTACCGTAGGTGGCATGGTAAGACCTAGACCCGGGATGGATTTACTCTTTCATTTTGATGTCCCCAGAGGCCAAAAACACCATTCGTTAAAATTTTTATATATGTATATATTCAATTCAATTCAAACAATTTTAATTAATGCAATTTTTTTATTAAATACATAATCCCTTATGACATGCAAAGCACGCTCGGGATGAAAAACATATTTTTATTAATACATTTCATTTTCTTGTTTCTGGCAGAAAAAAGCTCATTTTTCCTTCTTTGTCACTTTAACAGAACAGAGAGTAACATTTCCTATTGCAACAGTTTTAATCATATAAATAACACTTAGACAAATTAGAATAATTTAATAAGAACACGGTTTTTAGAAAGACAATAAATTCTACATGCAAATATAAATAGTTATTTATCTAAAACAAAGCTAAAAATAAGTTACAGATTAGTTATGCTATATTATGATTGATAGAAAACAACAAAGCTTTTGACTTTATCATTATCACCTTTTATCATTATAAACTTCATTACCGAACATTTTTACAAACGCATTAAAAAATTTTGGACCAAGACAACAAAACTGATGCCTACTAGTTTCCTTTTTAAAAAAGCTTTCTGCTAACAAGTAATATTGTGCTGATCGAGATATTCTATTGACAGGTTTCATTTTAAACATGTACGGATATTAAAAAACAAACATAATCAAACAGTATACGTGCAATTGATTGAAGGTTAAAAGCTCTTCATGTTCAAAAAGATAACTTACTCTATCATATTTTTTAAATCCAAAAACAGCCCTCAGTGCATGTCTTTGGTTCGTGATGACAGGTTGTAATATGGTAGGATAAGTACCCCCATAATGTACTATTCCATATCTCATCACACTTTCAAACCAGGAGATGTATACATTTTTTAAATGCTCACTCCTAATGTTGTCTCTTAAGTGATATAAAGCATAATTTATTTTCCTTAATTTAATTGAAAGTTGTTTTACATGCTGCTCCCACTTTAAATGATGATCAACAAACAATCCTAGATATTTAACATATTCTACTACTTCAATACAACTGCAAGAACAATTATACAAACAAGGGTGTTTACGGTACAATAAATTAAATTCATTTTGTAAATTTTCTCGTGATTGATTATAATGTTTTGAGTGAAGTGCTTGATTTGCAATTTGACAACCCTGAAAGAGTGGTTTTGGGCCCCATTATTTTTTGATATATATAAACGACTTGCTGGAGCTTGATTTATGTTCAAAAATATTTGCCTATGCTGATGACACAGCTCTTGTGTGCTCAGCTTTCAAT